TTTTTTTTTTCATGTAGATCTGGCTTTATAGCCAACGCATGGAAAAATTCAGCAGCTGCCTGCTTTTCGCCCCCCGTGTAAGTGGCTGCGGTGCCCCCTCTGTGTCTCGCGTGCAGTCCGATCTCTAATGCTTGTACTTCAAAACATATCCCACAGCCTTCACCTCAGCGGTGTCCTGAGGTGGCGCAGTAGTAGCGCGTGCTTTTGAAACATCCTGCTCACGTCTGGATTACCAAGTTATTACGCTGATGTATTTTATCCTTTTAATAAACACAGGCTTTATTTTACAGTCGCTGCGAGTAGCAGAGCACAGCCTTCCTCTTGTGCTGCGCCACGTGGGGCTTCCACGTGGTCTATATTCATATTATTCCTTTCCTGCCAAAGAATCGCAGGTCGTTTTAGAGACTTTGTGTAGTACTAATGTGCAGCCACTTCAGGAATGGGACATGGCAGCACCAGAAACTTTAGGTAAAAGGAAGTTTAAATGACTCGCGTAGGCTTTTTTTCATGGGGAATGCTGTTTTTTGGGGGGTTTTTTTGTTTTTTTTACAAGGTCCTACCATAAAGAAAATGTGTTCTTAGTAATCCCACATCTTAGATTTAATTCTCCCAATATCCGGGATACATTATAACTCATCCTCCTCAAAAGCGCAGAGAGAGCCCTCTGCCAATTTTATAAGCACCCAGCCCGTGTAGTAGAAAGTTTTTAGGAACTCTCAGCCTTTCTCTAAACTGCAGCTGGTAAACTCAGCAACAGAGCACTCTTTTTTTGGCCATGAAAGCACCCTAAAAGATACATTTTTTGTTTTGCTTAAAAGAAGACATTGGGAAATATATAAATTGTTATTGTTGTACAATAATAATCTCGCCCAAGTTAAAAATCCTGAAATTTCTTGAGACCTTTTCTTTAGTGGCATTGCGCACCTGTAAGCTTCCTTGTGAGAAGGTAATACAGCAGATATCAAGATGTTTTTGAAATTTTGAGAAAATATTTGAACGATATGAAGCTGAAGATGTAGCTTTACAATCCATATCAGAAATTGCAGTTAATAAAAGCAACTAGGTTATTTTATAGCACCTAAACAATATCTTGACCAGTGAAATCTCGTCTTGAAAGGATCTTTAAATTCAAACTGAAAGAGCTTCACTGGCTGACCTATCCACTAGTATTTAATTAGCTTCTGGATGGCTGTGCTTTCTTAGCGCTTATGTTCATGCTTAAAGTCATGCTGTTTGCATGCTCTGATTCTGCCATAGTAGCTGTCAGCTGGTGAAAGGGGGCAGATAATTTTTGCAAGTGTGGAAATTTTTTTACTCTTCTCCGAAACTTAGCAGCTTCATGTTCGTGTTTCTGAAGACATCTGAAATTGTGTCTTCCTGGTAGCTTGTCGTTTTACTTCTCCAGCCTCAGTGTATTCTGTGCTGCCTAATCAGTGTGTTACTGGACATGTCAGAACAGATTTGACCTGAGTGGTGCCCACAGCCGCCCACAGTAACACCTTGAAAGAGGAGAGTTTTGTATCTCAATTTCTCTCTTTTTTCCAAACCCGTGAAGAGGTTCAGCTCTGGCTGACCTCAATGACATCAGTCACAGATATTATACAGATTCCGTAGTTTGATGAAACAGTCAATTTTTTTAAGCAAAAGCTACCGTGGAAATTCTGTTACTTAAGAATTTATTCGCTTAGTTACAGTAATCTGTGTATAATGCTGCACGAATTACAAAAGGAAGCAAAATCTGCTTTTGAATTGTTACACTTTTATGGTCACCAGCACACTACCATAATTTGATCTGCAGTGTTTGATTAATATTTTGCCTTTCAAAAATATGTCCGTCTTCTGAATATTTTACCTGGGCTTTTCACTGCGGTGCTGGAAAGAAATAAAAAAAGTGGATGAGAGCCGTTTTTAAACTCAGATTTGGCAGGTATCGCTCAAAACAGGGATGGGGCAAGGGTTAACGCTGAGAGGAGCAGTTACCCTGTAGTTATGCAAACACAGAAGAGAAGATCGGGTGTTCTCTGTTCCACAGATAAGCACAGCTTCTCAATTGTCTGCTTTTTCTGACAGTTTTCTGTACGTGTGTAAAATAAGCATAACTCACATTCAAGTCTGAAAGGACACATTTGTATTTGTTTTGTCCTGATCTAAGTAACAAAAGGTGTAAGGTCCTGGAGAAGGAGAAGACAAGCCTTGAAAATCCTCAGCATTCCACTCTGGAATTTAATCTGGAATTGTGCAGAGACATAGTGGGGTATGAGTCTGTTTCTACTTTTTCATCATGTAAGCATTTGTTATTTTTGCATCCTACATTAAAGTCTCTCAGAAGTCCAGCCTACAGAACCTCATGAAAGTCAAAAAATGGCAAAGCCATTCAGGCTCTGAAAAATGTGCAGTAATAAGATCACCTGTTAGAACCAGGTGATGTTTGAAGTCCTATGTCTAAACTTGTTGCATGGAGGGCATTTCAGCTTAAAAAAATTAAAGAAAGAAGGGCCTGATTTTGCAAGACTTTGAGCTCTGCAGTCATCAGCTCTGATGCTAATTTTCTTTTGAGTTACTGTTATTGATGCACTTCACATTCTGCCTAGGCTATCTGTTACATCTTAAGTAACAGATGCAGCATGCAAAAGAGATGGAAAAAAAGGAATGCAAGGACCTTATCTCTTCTATAAACTAGCAATTCTGACTTTCTTCACCTTTCTGCAAGGATGTTGGGCCTTTGGGAATGTTTGCACTGTATGGCACAGATGTTTAAAGGATCAGTGCACTGTCCCCACAACTGTTTTTTGCTGGCCCAAGCCTATGTTACGATCTTTTGTTCACTGGGTGCAAAAATTTACTTACTTTGATTTTGCTGATGATAGAAACATTGGAGTAAGAAACAAAATCAGTTTATTTTCTTTATGATATATGGTAGTCTGTATCTCTACTCTTTGAAATGGATGTTTTGTTCCAGCTGTTTTTTAATTAAAATAATCTGAATTGATGTTTTTTTAAACTTTTCATTAGCTGATTGCAGTAATTTCCCCTATAGGTAATTGGCCATTCCAAGTACCAAGAATCCAAAAGAATTGCAATCTTTCTGAGCATGTCAGATGAAATCCAGACAGAAGAAATCATTAAGGACATTTTTAAGCAAGGCAAAGAGTGTTTCATCCCACGTTACAAGCCTCACAGCAATCACATGGACATGCTAAAGTTATCATCAGCTGAAGACATTTCTTCACTTCCTTTGACATCCTGGAATATTCATCAGCCTAGTGATGATGACCATGTAAGAGAGGAAGCTCTTTCTGGTGGTGAGTATTTTCTTCCTACACCTTGGTGTTGAGCAGGAGTAGCCTGGAGGTCAGTAGGATCTGATAGCAAGAAGGAAACATTAGGTTTTGGTCTTACATTTTGTGGTAGAGCTGGTTAAGTTCATGGAAGGGAAGCTACTTTCCCTTGCTTGTTTTTCTCTACCCTGTACGACCCTCTGTGATGTGCCAGCAGAGCTGTTTGTGCAGGGAACCAAACTGCACAGTTGAGCCAACTTGGAAAAAAAAAGATAAATCAGTTCACTGATCCAGTTCCATGGATAGCCTTGATGCAGTCTTGGACAGCAGAGCATGGAGGTGCACATGAAGGAGGGAATGGGTTGCAAGGGGTTCCTTGGACTGCCTTTGAGAGTCATGGGGACTTGCAGCTTTGGATACTTTCTGAGAACTTTAATTTCCACTGCCTGAAAGTTATGCAACTTTTAGGGTGATGCCTGTAGGCTAACATGGGAATTTTCTGAAATCTTTGATCCTGCAAATTGTATTGCATGGATGAATCATAGTGCTGATATGGAGGCTGCCCATGTAGAACAGCTCTCTGGCCTGATACTTTTGACTGAGAATAAAAGGACTTTTTTGTAGGCTTGGATGACTATTGCCAAGCCTTTCCCATCATTATTCTCTCATGTTTTTATTTTGATCTTATAATGCCAGCTCAAACATTGGATTCTTCATAAGGTTGAAAAGTGAAGAGGACGTTTAAGTCGAACTAGTGGCATATTCATTTTGGTCCACAATAGCCTCTCTCTTTCTTAACCTAAAATTCTCCAATTTCTACAAAATTGTAAACAAATTTTATTTTGATGTTCACACTAATTAGTTTTATGATTTTTGTAAAAAATTTTAACATCTTCCTAAAATATCTGCAGACACGTTTAATGATATTAATGGAAAACTCATGCTGAATTCATGTTTGAAACCTCAGTCTTGGAACATTTCTCTAGGTGGAAACTTAACATGCAAACAGGTTCCACACATTGCACAGAATTATTAGCTTTTTAAGCTAGATAGAAGAACATGGAGTTTATATGAATCTGTTTGGTTAAACTGGGCTTTGTGTTTGCTTTGGGTTGCCAATATGCTTTCCCAGAACACTACCCTTCAGACAATTAGTGCCGGGAACGTTACCCCGAGCATTAGGTCTTCAATTATCAGAATTTTCCTTGTATTTTGTTTCTTTTTTGTTGATTTTTTTTCCTCTTTCTTAATTCAGAATCCTGTCTGTGTTCACATTATAGCTAGTGAGGGATTTTACAGCTTTGTACAGTCGTCATCTTTGCATTTAACGCTTAGCACTGCTACTTATTTTCCTACTTTTTGTGAAAACCTTGTGTGCATCAGTGGGATTTGGGGGCTTTTGAAGATGACCCTTTAAATGCCAGGTGTGACCATTAACTGTTAGGTATGGTGGGAACAGAGACTACCTGGTATAGAGTGCACTGGGATGTACCTTCAGGGATGGCCCAGATGCAAGGCTGTGAAAAGTGGGAAGACGGGACCAAGCTTTGGTACCTGGCTAGTCCTGGAGCTCCCATTTCCGTCTCTGCACCAGGGTGTGATTACAGGCAGAGAGCAACACCAAGAGAGCTACAGTAATCCTCATGAAAGAGGCTGCGGACTGCAGTGAGCTAGATCATGGGAAGAGCTGTAGGATACATTTCACATAGATGCCGTGTCTCATGTTTTGAGGAGCGTAGAAGGATGAGAGCATGCTTGCTCAGCATTTCTCATGCTCCTTTGCTTTGACTTGGCTTTTCAAATGGTGTCCTGTTTTCCTGACCAGGTGTTGTAACAACTAGTGTATGTACATCCAGACTTGTCCTGCCTGAAGCTTGATTTCAGTTTATTTGTACTTAGTAACTCAGGAATAATTCTATTTTTGTCTCAGTTACCATATTTTTTTGAACTTTGGTACACTTGCTGGAATGCAGATCTTGCTACTACGTCCATCCTCCGTTGTTGGAGTTATGCATGCATGAAACATTTATATCTGTGATGTTATCAAATACTGTGGTGATCTGAGGCATTTACATCGTTATAAGGAGATAACATGGTGTTATATTAGTAATGTTCCCATTGCTTGCATAAGTTGCTATGTAATTTCCAAGAAATACCCTGCAGGTACATAAATAAGTCATGTCACTACTGAGTGTATTCATTTTGCATGACAAAAAGCTTAGATTCAGACTGTCCTTAAAACTTTCTTTCCTTTATACTGGCATGATTGTTGTGAATAGCTCAAATGTAAGACTAGGAATAATTTGCATGTAGAGTATCTCAGTCTTTGGTAGGACAGGCTGTGCGCAATAGATAGGAACGCCTCCTTTTGGAGACAGTCCTTTTTCTGTTGGACCAGGATCTGTCTGTTTTCATCTGGGCAGTGCGCTGCGTTACGAATTGTTGGTATAAGCAAAGATCACTGCAGTTTCTGTGGTAGAAGGTTTGTCATCTTCTCAACCACGCACGAGTGACAGCATTTTTTGTATGAAATGTTGCTTTCTTTAGGCTAAATGGACACAGCAGCAGAAAGAAAAAAAGAGGACGAAATTCATTTTTGGGGGCAGGTAGGAGCGTATATAACTTCATGACTTGATTAATTTACAGTTGCACCTACTGAAAGACACAACTTCTGGAGCAAGCCCCTGGTATATTTTCTTAATAAGTACAAATTCACATGTTGGTATCCTTGTCCATCAGAAACATAATGTACACTCATATTGTTTCTTGCCCAAGGTAATACTTTTGATGGCAGTTCCGGCTGGTTGCAGTAAATGTTTTACTGGAGTGTAGACACCTTGCACAACTTTGAAAGGACTAAATCAGATAAAACCGCACTCCTTGTTTGCTTTTTATCACAACTCCTACAGAAGTTTAAAGGACACTTCCCCAGCAGCCCTAATTTCAATGTGGTTTAGGGAGGCGGTGTGATTCAGCGGGTTGGACATGGGTTTTCTCATCTCTAATGCTATTTATTGTTGTATAAACCTGCTCTGAGAGCTATGGATGAAAAGCTAAGTTTCTCCTCCAAAAAAGATATTATTCGTAGTATTATTCTTTGAAGGGAGGCAGGTGGCAAACTTTGGACCGAGAGATCTCAGCTGGAAATCTTGGAGCTAAATGGATCCCTTGACTGGTCATAACCAAATTATAGCCAAATTACAGTTGAGGATATATAATAAATTCTAGACAACTTTTAAAACATTCATCTGGGTGAGGGGGAAAGGCTTAAAAGGATTTTTAGATATTTGTTTTTAGCTGAAAAATCAAGAGGCATTAGAAATGGTAACTCTGAATCTGGTTACTCTGATGTGTTGTAAAGCACTCTCCTAAGAAATGGAAGAAATGGGGTTAGGTGTACAAACTTAATTCAGCCTCTTTGTCTGTGTATATTTTGGCCCAATCCTTAAAATCATCATCATATATTCTTAGCGCATTGCCTCTGGACTCATTCGTGCAGAAGATGAACACTGCTTGCTGTTAACGAATGCTGCTAATGAGTATGCGTTTGGTCATTTGTTTTCTCCCTGTTCAAGTTACAGCTTCAGGCCTTTTTTGCATTATCTTCATATGGAGACAGAGGTATTCATTTCCATGTGGGCTCTTTATCGCTATAGTGTTCAGAGACTTAAAAATATTAACCGGTATCTGCTGTAAGAGGAACAGCAGAGGCTCAGGATCTTGGATTCCAGCCTAGGCTGTGGGGAGAAGCAGCTCCCAGTGAATATAGACTCTTTTGCTTGTTTTTCCAAACATTAGCACCTCTTTTCTGTTCCCTCCAAAATTCCCAAGTCTTGTCTCGTCCTTGTGCTAGACCCCCTTTTCTCAGTTTTAATTTTTCTTGCCTACACAATGCCAGTCTCCTCCTGCTCCTTGCCCAGCCCCTTGCCCAACCTGTCTGAATCTCCCTCTCCAAGTAACCTTCTTTGGCCTTTCTGACCATATTCCCCACTTCCTCTTGCTCTCAGTCCTAGGTTGTCGTTTCATGGGCGGCCGGGCCAGCGTAAATAGCTTGTAACTGCCAGAAGGGAAGAGAGAGCGTGCTTTCTCTTCTTTCCTTTGTCCGGTTCCAGACATACAAGATTGCTTGTCCAAATTTACTCATTTCCTTCCCCACTGAGCTATCTGCTTTCTCTTTTTCATCGGCTCGGAAAACTTCCTCTTCTCCTAAATAGTGCTTCTTGTACTAAGCAGTACAAAAGAAACTACTCGAGCGTAGTTTCATGATTGTTGCTTTTGGGTGCTTCCCGATTAAATAGCCCTCGCCCTCTCTCCTCCTCTGCTTCCTTTCTCCTTGTTCCCACCCCTCAGCTCTTGTGCCAGGACATTGTCCATGCAGCCACATGATGAGCTCCACTGGGAAACTCATCTCGGTTAGAAATGGCGCAGAACCACCAACAAGAGGCTGTTCTTATCTCAGATAGGGCCACTACAAAGCTTTAGACTGACACAGCTGAAGGCTTGGTAGAAAGCTGGTGAAGTGGAGTTGCATAAACCACTGACATGCCAAAGCAAATGTTCGTGAAACTTCAGTCCTCATTTCCTTCCATGTTTCAGTTCCCAGTCTGGTCCCAGTCAGAGCAGCTAGGAGCAACCACTGACATGAAAGTCCTTTTCAGCCTTTGCAGTTTGGAGTGTGGCTATCCGCAGGACCTGCACTTACAGCTCCAAAGGCACTGTCTTTGCAACAGTATTTGCTTTAGGAATTTTTCTTCCTTGTGTTTCCAGCATCTTCCTACCCCCTGCCTCTCTGCGGTAAACTGGATCAGTGAACTACTCTGGAGGACAAATATTTTCCTCTCCTCCCCTATCCCCTATGCCTTTTTTGCTGGGGATTTTTTTAACCCAGATCAGCAAATGGATTCGATTTATCATGCAGCCATGTCTGTGCAATACGTGTGGGGTGGGAATGAGTAGCCAGGATGGGGAAGCAGCACTGATTCCGAGAGAGAACCGTGGGGCCAGGTCTCTGGGACTGCAGCAGC